CAAACAAGTGTGAAAAAGTGTGTCCCTATCATCCAGATGAGTGTGGAGATGTGTGCCCCTGTCACCCAGACGAGTGTGGAAACGTGTGCCCCTGTCATCAGGATGAGTGTGGAAACATGTGCCCCATCATCCAGACGAGTGTGGAAACGTGTGTCCCTGTCACCCAGATGAGTATGGAAATGTGTGCCCTGTAATTCAGACAAGTGTAGAAATGGGCACCCCTGTCATCAGGATGAGTGTGGAAACATGGGCCCTGTCATCCAGATGAGTGTGGATTTAGCTCTGACTCCCTCCCCAGCACACACACTGACTGTACTCAGCCCTGCCAAGATGTCCACTTGGCATCTTACGCTCTAACATGGAGGGCTGTAATACGGAAGTGCCTCTTCCAAACCCAGGGAAACAGCTGCTCTGGGAGCCTGGTGGCAGCTGTGGCGTCCCACATGGCAGCCGCTCCTGGCACAACCCTGCCCAAGAACACTCCCCATCCAGCACAGTTTCCTAGCCCTGGTGTTAGCCTCCAGAGGACCACTCCCAGACTTTAAACCCTCCCTCTGAGGTGAGGGCATAATCTCGAGGTTGCCTACAGCCCCCTCTTCTGTGAGGTCAGCCATTCTTCACCAGTGCCGTCCTCCACCCGCCACCATGTCCCTGCCACCACAGCGCTGGTCTGTGTCAGGAACGGTCTGGTTATCTTCCAGCCATAACATGAGCACCTTGGTACGGAGACTCAGCTTGTCCTCCCCGTGTTTCCCTGCACAGTGCAGAGTGATACATACTAGGAGTCAAGTCTGAGAGAGCAGAGAGGTTGTGTTGCCCACGTGGCTGTGAGAGTGGAGAGCCGTAGGCCCAGGCACAGATCTGAGATGCTGACCAAAGCCGTGGAGGATGTCCTGCTACACAGGAAAGTGCAGCTGGGCAGAGAAGGAGATGAAGAGGAGTCTGGCCTAAAGACAAGGGGTGCCGTGTCAATGCCACAGCCCAGGAGTCTTTTCCCACGGGTGTCCCAGCAGAGAGGTCCTCTGGGCCCAAGCCTTCCGAGAAAACAGTGGCTCCAGAACCCAGCGTCTCCACCTCCGTCTCCGAGCAAGAGACAGTGGCCACCAAACCATAGGAGGCCCTGTGCTAGCCTTTCTTTATTTTATATAATTTATTTAACTTTATTTTATGTGCATTGGTATGAAGGTATCAGATCCCCTGGAACTGGAGTTACAGGCTGTTGTGAGCTGCCAGGTGGGTGCTGGGATTTGAACCTGGATCTTCTGGAAGAACAGCCAGTGCTCTTAACTGCTGGATCATCTCTCCAGTCCCCCTATGCTAGCCTTTCTCGTGAGGAAGGTAATCCTCTCTACATCTCACAATCTTCTGTCTTTGGGGAGAAAATCTCAGTTGGTGCCAGTGTGGCTCTCTGCATCCAGCAGGCACTAATCCTTGCTGTTTAATAAACGAGGGACCTCGCCTGGCTCTTCGCAGATGCGAGTCCCGGGCTAGCAGCAAAAACACGTCCTTCCCCTTGTTGTGTATTCCAGATAATTTCTATGATGAACGACTCTGGCTTTCTACTTAAAGTTCTTGAAGTATGGAGGTGTGTGTGTGTGTGTGTCCATTTCAAGAAAAACATTGTAGCAGGTTATATCCAGATGTGGCCACATTAGGAATGCAGCATGGGGTACAGAGGCAGGGGGAGGGGCGTGATTAATGCTGAGTTTTGTAGCCTCCCCTGAGAACGTCGCCTTCTCTCTTTAGAGCTCTACAAAGTCACGGACCAGTCCCTGTGCTTACTCTTACACGTGTGCAGGCGTCGATGAGAGCAGACCAGTGTGGGGTGAGAGTGTAGCTGTCCGCCAGGTGTCTGTGGCCACAGGCTCCTGGGCTGAGTTTCCCTAAACACCTGCATCCCCTGGTGGCTCCAGGTGCCCAAGGAGGCATGCTGCATCTGTAGACTGCACAGTGAAGCCCTGGTGCAGCCCAATACCTTCTCCCCAAGCCTGCTGTCTTGACTTCCCTGGGACAGACACTCCCAGAGGCCAGCCCAAAGCTACACTCCACTGTTCAAGAACACGTGCAAGTAAAATGGATTCCTGAAGAGTCTGCTGGGACCCTGGACAGTGACAAGGCAGTTGCAGTGTGGGGACAGATCTGGCTGCGGAGAACAGGTCTATAGCTGCGGGGTCTTGGCTTCAGGGGTCTACTTTGTACAGGAATAGACAGAGAAGGGAAGTAGAACTGGCAAGAGGGCAACACAACATGAAGACTCCTCCTGTAGTCTGGGCCTGGCTCTGGACAAACCTAACAAGGGCTGCTCCACCTCGGCAGGGAAGGAATCGAGGAACATACAGTATTGCAGCTGAAGCAGAGAGCATGCATCTAGCGAGGCAGGCATGAAGGGGCAGGAGAAAATGTTTCCGAATTAAGGGGGCAGGAAACTGGTTATCAGCGGCAACGGCAGGCACAAGCTTTTCCGTTTTCTTCGGTTTCTAAAATAAAGCCATACTGGGTGTCCACTCAGAGACTTCAGCTCCAGGGGTAAGCGAAAGGGTCCAATATCTATTGGGGTGTTCATTAATGGGTTCATTCATTCTGGGACAGGGCTTGCTATATAGTTCAAGCTGGCCCAGAGCTCATGATCCTCTTGCCTCTGCCTCCTGGGTGCTGGGACCATGTATCTGTAGCTAAAGTCTTCTGGACCCTGCTTCCCCTGATGGCTCTAGCTGCCCAAGGAGGCATGCTGCCGCTGCAGCCCTGGCTTGGTCCAATACCTTCTCCCCAAGCCCACTGTCTTGACTTCCCTGGGACAGACACTCCCAGAGGCCAGCCCAAAGCTGTTCTCCACTGTTCAAGAACACATACAATGAAATGGGTTCATAAAGAATCCTTTCGTGGTGTGTATACCACCACACCCAGCCGAGAACTCATGAGAAGAAATGAATGAGCTTTGTTGGCCTGGGAAATCCTCCTGGCTAATGAGTTGGGCAACCAAAGGCCAGCAGTGTGTGAGCTGCCCGGGTGCTGGCCTCAGGGGACCTCAGATGCGCTGTTGCTGATAGTTCTTGCAGACTGAGATACGACATGGCTGCAGAGCTGAGACTTCCCTGTTACCTGACAGCCTGGTGTGGAAAGAGGGGCCTGGACTCTCACCTTGCTGCCACTGAGCCACCCGCCCTCTGCCCCCTCCACATTACGGCATGGTGGTTGGGTGCCACAGAAGCGTGGGAGGCAGAAGAGCTGCCACTGACAGGATAAAAGGTGACTGAAAAAGTGGAGGGCATGGCAGTACTGAGGTTCATCACCACTTGGGGTACACTGGGTGTCCGTGGAAAACTTAAGAATAAGTTGGGGTCAGGCAGGTGCAAGCAGCCCCAGAGTGACTCCCATGGGTTAGAAAGGACTCCGTGATGGAGACCCCTGATTCTACCTCAAGACCTGTAACCACATACGCAAGACTGGAGACACCCCAGGCCAAATTTTTTGCTTGGGATACAAGACAGTGGGACTCCTGGTGCACCCAAGGTGTGTGATATTTGGGGACATTGAGTAGCCTACCAGTGTGTTAGGATGCAGCCTCACTGCCTTGATGTAACCTGGGCCTTGGCTAACCCACCACCTTTTGGGTCAGACACTCTAGGCCAGTGTTTCTCAACCTTCCTAATGCTGTGACCCTTTAATATAGTTCCTCATGTTGTGGTGACCCCCAACCATAAAATTTAGTTGCTACCTCATAACTGTAATTCTGCCACAGTTATGGATCATAACATAAATATCTGATATGTAGGATATCTGACACATGATCCCTCCAAAGGGGTCTCAACCCACAGGTTGAAAACCGCTGCTGTAGACTCAGGCGGGGCGGGGGGGGCGGGTCTTAAGGAAGATGGTTGGCACTTGTGATAGAGTACAGTCACGAACTGAGAGTTCTGGCCTTGGAACCGGAACGCGGACTTTCAGTAGAGGATTCCCTCTGCAGGGTCAGGGTTTGCATGCTGCATACTGACAGTCTTTGTGCAGTGGCCTGATTGAGGCCAGCGTGGAGCTTGTAAAGAACTGGGGGGGCCAAAGAAAACCAGCTGCCAAAAACTGCAGGGCAGAGTCATCATGCTATACATGCCTCTGGCTGCATGCATCTGATGGAGGGTTAGGATACATGCCTCTGGCTGCATGCATCTGATGGAGGGCTGGGATGGACTTGCCTCTGGCTGCATGCATCTGATGGAGGGCTGGGATGGACTTGCCTCTGGCTGCATGCATCTGATGGGCTGGGATGGACTTGTCTCTGGCT